TTTTATAACTAATAATATATTTTTTAAATTAGCAGACAAGAAATAATTTCTTCCCTATCTTTTTCACTCTCACATTCCATAAGTTCTTAATTTTTAAATTCATCGCAAAAATTATTTCATTATTTCTTTTTCAAAAATAAATGAGATCAAAAATTGCCGAGAGTTAGCTATTCTCACTTGCAATTAGCTCTACTTGCTAATGGGAGAGCTTGAAATTTATAGGCGAGCAAAATTTGCGGATGGAATAATTTTGGATGTAAATCAACCAGTGGCGATCGTTCAACCATTGTCAATTCATCTGCTGTCATGAATGGAAATCTGGAAAGAAAAAAAGAAAAACAATCACCCTTTAAAAAAAAATCATCATTTTGCATTCAATATTGAAGTCATTAATTTAAGCCAAAGAATTTGTATTCTAAAAGAATGCAGCAAATCTAAAATATTTTTTCAGACATGTAAAGATTGATCGTATATTATGCAAATTCTCATTTTCACAGAATAGTATTGGATTATAAAGTAATGCGTGAATTAAAATCTCCGATGATTCAATCTCTATTGTAATATGTGAAATTAACTTTACGAATGGAAATACTTTTGTAGCATAAGAAAAACCACACCTGTATTTCGCTCCCTGGATGGCGAATATCAGAATAGTTATAATTTTGATATTAATCAATCAACAAACAACTCGTCAGAAAACTGTTTCCTTAGGTATTTGTAGCAAAATGCAGTAAGCGAGTTTAGTGTACTTCGTGGAAATACCTAAGGAATTACTTTTTGAACTAACCATTATAGGTCTTTATTGGTCACTCTGATAGCGCAGTGAAAAATTTACTGCATTTCTCTATTTAGACTTATCAAATACTCTCTGAACAAAAGTCTAAACCATTATTAATAACTAATATATATTTTACATATTAGCATTGAAAGTATTGAAATCAGCCTGTGATGAATATTTGAAAGTTTGAAAGAATTAATAATAGATGGAGGTGCTTGTTGGCGAAATTTCATGAAAAACCAACTTTATGAATGGAATAATGGAAGCGAGAAGTGGTGAAGCAGTGCTTCCGCGTCTCTCGGGATGTGATGATGCTGTCAACCATCTCTGTACAGCTTCCCACAAACGAAATTCATCTTAATTTAAATGAAAATGAAGACACAATCCGTGAACTCATTCTAATATTACTATATACCAAGCAAATTCTCTTTCAGAATAATACAAAATCTTCTCTATTCATTTTTAATGCAAAATTATTATTTCATTAATTAATGCTGCTATTAATTTATTGAATTTTTACGATGATATTATCAGAAACTTGCTATCAATGGAAAAGAGTTACTTGGCAAGACAAGATCATTAGATTTGAGTAGTTCGATGAGCTGATCGCGATCCACCGATAACCATTCCTTTTCCCATTCTTCCCTCATTATCATCTCTTCGAAATGCCATGCTAACACTTTGATACATGCATTTATTAGTGGCTAAAGCAAAGAAATATTTTAAACAACATCCCAAAAAAGTATTATTGGAAATAAAAAACATACTTGATGGAATGCTTTTGTAGCATATGAGAACCACACGTGGAATAATTCTCTGGTTGACAATTCTGGCAATATATTGCTCACAGCATAATCAATACAAACCTTAATAATTTCTTATTAAATTTTCATTTTTAAATCTCAAAAAAAGTTACTGCTAATTATCAACTTATTTCCGATTGAAAGACAACAAAGTTGATAAAATCGATAATGACTGATGTGAAATTATATTTGAAAAAAAAGAAATAAATAATGGATTTGAAGAAATTTGAAGAAACTGTGAAAGTGATCAAAATTTCTAAAAACGATTCAATTGTTTCACTTGTTTCATCCAACATTTAATGTTTGTCAATCAAAAATCGGACAGTCATAATTTACCCTTTGATATATAGAGACCAGAAATCATACAAATTCTAGTGAATTTAAATTGGACAAACAAACGGTAATTAAAATTAATAAAATAAAATTAACAACTTCTATTGATCATTGTCATATTTATACATACCGCAAAGTTTAGTGATAATTAAAAACATTAATAATCACAATCAGTAATATATCTTTAATGGAGTTTTTCTTTTAAACTATTTTGTGATTTAAGCAAATAGCAAAAAGCAAATAATAAATAGCAAAATTAGAAAATGATTTGTTCCGTAGCTTAGCTAAAAAAAAAAGAATTAAAAATAATAAAGGAATTAGATTACCTTTTTCAAACTGTTAACATTATACTTATCGGAGAGAATAAGTATTGGTAGTGCATTTTCGGGATGTAAAAGTATATGATTGCAGTATAGGAAGCGTAGAAATGCGGCAAAAACTCGTTGACAATATGGGTCCTCGACAAGTTCTAACTCCTTTAATTTTGTTCATTATTTCCCGGTTTTGTATGTCTTAGAAATGAAATGATATGATTTAATTTCAAATCTTAGAAAAATACATGGAATCAGACTTGGTTCATAGGTATGAGAAATATAATTACTTTATTGAAAATTTCATATTTACATTTACATTTTCACTTGTTAGTTTCGATTTTTTCATAAAATACAAAAATTAACAATTTCCTTCCATAGATCTGTAGAAGCAAAAAACAATTTCCCAAAATTAATGAAAAAAAAATTGAGGAAAGAGTGAAATGCTCAAAACCTTCTTATCACCATTCCATTTCTTGCTTAGCATTTGATCGAACACTTCGCTACTTTTTGTTAATATTATTCGATGTGCTGGATAACTAAAAAATTGAATTCAAATTTCTCCATGTCCAAATTTAAGCAGTGTTGAAATAGTCATTCAAGCAGTTTGAAGAAAAAAAAACCTGCAAACTGTTTAAATGACTATTGTCATATAAAATATTATCAAGCTGATATAAACTTACCAGCATAAATTCAAACCAAAAGTAATGTAATCACAAATAAATGTACCAGATAATATTACAAAAAAGAAACCACGAAAATTTTAATATTTAAAACAAAAATGTATTCATTAAAATATTTAAAACAAAAATGTAAGCTATTACATACATTTCATCACCGACTAAAAGTGCAACATCACTTAAATGCGCATTATTGTAATATTTTGTGAAATCGTTCAATGCTTCACGATCGTCAGCAAAGCAATCCATACCTGAATATTTGAAAATTAAAAGAAAATGAATGAAAAATCATTCTTCAAACAAAAATTTTCGTTATGAAATCATATTTTTATAATAAATTTGTTTTAAATTAAATAAAATCACTGATTTTAAAATGAGCAGCTAGTTTAGATGATTTTACTTAGGTGTAAAGATCAATTTTGATGATTTGCCAATTTTGCTATAAATATTTAAATAAAAATAGCTTTTTTCTTCAATATTTCAATAGAAGGGATTTATTTGTAAAAGTAGATGATTTCTTTTAATTTAATTTTTTCACTTGCTTTAATTTGTATTTGTCTTATTCCTATTTAGTTTTTAACACAGTTTGGCATATTGACACGAACTTCAAAAAAAAAAAAACATGTACAGAGCAGTTGTACTTTAACAGCTAACCATTTTCTGATAGAAATATTAGAATAGTCTAAGAAAATTTCATTCAAATTCATATGTTATAAATTATTGCATTGAATTTATAAAGCGCAAACTTTTTCCAAATTTTTTTAATGAAATAATAATATAAAATAAAATAATTGACGATGAAATTTGATGACTATTTAAGAAATTTCAACAGTGACAACGAATAGAGTAAATTTTGTTTAAAGAAGGCGACCATTTGCTTTCTGATATTTATCAAAATAGATAAGAAACAACAATAACAACAACAATAATCTTTCACTTTCATTTAACTCTCTTCGTGTCCTTTGCAGCAACAAATGTTTGAAATTAGCAAGCACATAAGCAAGCGATCAATCAATCGTCAAAATTATGAAAATCATGATTGGTACAAAATATCCGTAACAAAACATAACATTATATTGATGATTGATTCAATCAGAAGAAAAATTACCATTAATGGTATATGATAGGATATGCAAACTTAGCTATCATGAAAAGCATATAGATAGGATAGCTTTTATCAAATCATAAAAAGGATTAGAAAAAAAATGAAAGGGTAATTTTGTAAATTTTTACTCTCTCTAATAACTTTTTGAAGAAGATACTTATTGCATTGTGACCTTTACTCCTTCACTAAAACAACTCCATTTCCACCAAAAAATAATGTGAACAGCGCGCTTCAAACATATTTTTTTCGTTAAATGCAATTAAACTCAATTAAGATCAAAAGAATACTGTCAAAGAAAGGTAACATTAAGATGAGGTAAAGGTAGAGTAAAATAAGAAATTTAAGG